TATGTATATGTATATGTATACATACAAGTATATCTATACATACATATGTGTATGTGTATGTATGTATCTATATATATATATATATGTATGTTATGAAAACGGATGGGGTGGCGACCCTGTCTGGAGCTCAAGCCTGGATTGTTGGCTCCAACGGCCGGACTGAAACCGATGAGATGCGCCCATGGTTCTACATCGCCAATTGCCACGGAAAAGTTGTGAACAACACAAGGCAACTCACCCCGTCGAAACTCTGCACAGTCTCGCCGCGGCTACGCCCAATTCGTGCAGCGGAGGAGCCACACAAGCCCTGAGCATGTGCCGATGTTGGCCCGTACCTCCATGTCAATGTGCAAACAGGCACTGCCGGAACAGCTGCAGTAAACAATGCGGCAACAGGAAACTGAGGAACATGAAAGGAAGCTCTACTCATAAATGCTTCTTGCCACAGGTACAAAGCAAGCAGACCCCATCGTCTTCTGAGTCCGCATCATCATCAACAGTCGTCATCATTGTCACAGCCACCATCACCATCACAAACATCAACAACACCGTCAACGTTTTCGTCCTCATCACCCTCGACTTCCACATCACCCCGCCCGTTACGTTGGCCCTCCTCCTCGTCAGCAGCACCATCGTCGTCTGGGCTATGAAGATGATCAAAAGGACTGTACCAGGCCAGTGCTGACACCAGACGGATGCCAAGCGCAATATGAACACGAATGCAAAGATTAGTCTGTGCAAGAAGACTACCACATCAGGAACTACAGTCAGGAGAAAAATGACTGTAACAGGAAGCACTTCAACTTCAACTAAAACGACAACACTGAACACCTCAAGTTGTTGTGGCAGCAGTTCGACAAACCCTTCGTGGCGCACAGAGTCATTGACCAGCTCGCGATCCTCACGCAGCGCTCGCTGGGCCTTTGGTGGAATGGCCGATGGTTTTGGATTTACGTGCCTACGCCCCAAGCCCTAAACCCTAAACCGTAAACCCTAAACCCTAGACCCTACACCCGCCCCAAGCCCTAGCCCTAAGCCCTGAAGCCTAAAGCTTTAAGCACTTAGGGGTTGAGAAGCATCTTAGCTTCGAGGCCTCTTGGCACGGGGCATCGACCGCAAGGTTGGGTGTCTGATTGCTCGGGGTTCGGCGTTTGTGTGTTTTGGGGTGTGGGTTTGGGGGCTTTGGGCTTAGGAATTCGTTTCCATGCCAAGAGACATAAGCCAGACAGCGGCCATTCTTCCTGATGACCTCGTGGAGGGGCTTTCGAAATTTTGACTTCACAGCTACGGGGCTGTAGGGTCGCGGGGTTTGAGCGCAGTTAGGCTTTGTTGCTTTCCGCGTCGGCATCTCAGTACTAGTGTCATCTGCAATGGAATGATTGCCAAACCCTAAACCCCAAACCCTAAACACTAAACCCTGAAACCTGGCTGGTCGCCGTACCCTCGCAGAAAAGCTTCAAAACCACGAGATCAGCGATAGAAACGGAAAAGCTCTCCATACGGTGGCCACACGACAGCTGTGCGCGCTCGCGAACTCTTGCGCATGTTTTTTCACGCACACAACACCCATAATTCAAGAGGGGCCCCAACTTTCAAACAACGTAACGATGACGCTTCTGCTAAGCGTTCGGGACAAGCGGAGCAATTCGGCCAATTCTTTCCCTGTGGTTCGGTGGGATTGTTTCCACTCGATCCTTCTCGCAAGCCTGATGTCATCGAAGATACATTTCCGACAACCTAATATAGGGGCCTTAATAATTAGAATAAGGTTTTGGGGCCCATTATACTAGATCTATAATAAGGAACCCCCGGACGACGACGACGTCCCCGACAAGGCCTGATGAGGCCGCAAATACGACAGCCATCACTACAGCTCCTATCCTTCTTGCTTATAAACTTCGGCTGCGAGCACTGGCACCATGGTCATCACCACGGTAGTTGCAAGTGCCCTTGCCATACGACGGAGACGAAGACAGCAGCAGCAGCGGCGGCGGCAGCAGCAGCAGCAGTCTTTGTTGAAAAGTGTAAGCAGTGCTGACAAGACCCAAACTACTTCTCTTCGCATCATATTACATGATACCATGTGTGCACATATAAATATACATATATACATGTGTATATACATATGCGTATAATTATATTTATGTTTATATGTATATTTGTATGAGAGTAAAGGTACATTTGTAGCTATATTATATAACGGCACAGTGACAAAACGATACAAGGATATAATATCAGTTTACAAACTGTTTGAGTATACTTTAAACTATCATGACATATTGCAGACTCATAATATAAGGTGTTATAACATATTATAGCATATCTTAATTAATATGTCATGACATAGGAGTATAATGTACCTTTGCTGGGTTGGGGGCCTGCTGTGCTACCTCCCGATCCGCTGTGGGCTGCACGAAGGAGAGGGCTCCTGGGACTCAGAGAATCGGGCAGGCCTTAGGGTTTAGGGGTTTAGGGTTTAGTGGTTGAGGGGTTTAGGGGTTTAGGGGTGTAGGGTTTAGTGGTTGAGGGGTTTAGGGGTTTAGGGGTTTAGGGTTTTGTAGTTGAGTTTAGGGGTGTAGGGTTTGGGGTTACTACAAGGGTTCTGTGACAAGGGCTTTTATAATGAGAACAAGTGTTTTGGCCTTGGGGTATCTGAGTTTAGTTTCGGCGCTTGTGCTTCGTTTGCCCTGGGCTTGGGGCAGGTGGGGAGCTCAGGTTGTGCAAACTTGGCACCCCAAGCACTCACCCCGAAAGCCCACAACCCTAAGACGCATCCCTGACCCAAAACCTCAACCCCAACCCCAAAGACCGTAGACCCTACCCATAGCCCTGTTTCAGGAAAGGCAAAAGAAAATCACCTTAGAAGATTGGTTTCTTGGGCTGCCGGTAAAAACAAGAAACCCTAAACCCCAAGCCCTCAACCAAACCCTAAACACTTTTTTCCAAACTGCCCAACCCCAAACCCTGCTCTCCCGTAGCTCTTTGGATTCAAGTTTAGGCTCGGCTTGGTGGCTTCGGCTTAAGTATAGGGATTCAAGCTTGATGGTTCAGGGTCTAGGGTTTAGGGTCTTGGGCCAGGGCTTTGGGTCCTGGTGGTTTTGGGGTTTTGGGGGAAGCTACTACTGGGATTCTGCTGGCATGCTTCCACAATGCTACGGGAGCCTTAAAGCCGCAAGCTCTAAAAGCCAAGCCTCGCCCCAAACGATGGAGCTTAAACCCTAAGCTCGAAACCCGCATGAGAGAAAGGGGTGCTGCCAGGGTTCTCCCGTGGGTCTCGGAGAGCAGGAGGAGCCTATGATCGCGTCTGGCTTAAGAGAGGGGCCTTGAGAATTAGACTAGAATTTTGGGGGTGTACCAACGGAAGATGAGGAACCCTAAACCCTAAGCTCTAAACCCTAAACTAAACCGTAAGGGATAGTGCTCGTCGTTCTGTAGGCTTCTATACGCTGGCCTCTCTGCGGGTTTTGGGACTTGCGGGTTGAGGTTTTGCTGGTTTAGGGCTTGGGGCTTAGGGCTTTAGTGATCAGGGTCTTGCGGTCGAGGGTTTGAGGGTTGAGGGTTTAGGTTTTATTTTGCTGCTGGAAACATGGAAGGCTGGGAAAGGCTGATTTGGGCTTGACGGGGGAAGGTAATATAGGCGCCTTAATAATTAGAATAGGGTTTGGGGTATGTTATACTATAATTATAATAAGGAAAACCCCCAAAAATACTTTAGGTAATCAAAGCCTCTATATTATATTGTCTATGCTCCATGGTTGCCATCCCTGAACCCACAGGCCTCTAGCGAATGAAGTTTGTTGCGGCACTTGATCTTGGTTGTGTAGGGGTTTAGGGTTTAGGGTTTAGGGTTTAGGGTTTATGGACTCTTGCCCTAGGCCCTAGGCCCTAGAGCAAGCCGCTGACGGTTCCAGGTGTCAGGGTGCGGTCTACTTAGGTCTAAGATGCTGCTGCCTTGGGGTCTCAGACACTAAGAAACGGTTTAGGGTTTAGGGTTTAGGGTTAAGAAAGAAAGTTGGTAAAACCCTAAAACCCCTAAACCCTAAACCGCTGAACGCTAAACCGTAAACCCCGGTGGTTGTCATGACCAGTAGGTTTCGTACTCCTGCTACCATCATCACGATTGACTAGTGTGGATGTAACTGGCGATAGTTGCACTGCTACCATGGGTAACCGGTGTTGCTATGGCTATAACTGTTCATGTCGACTCACTTTCTCAATTAAAGGTTAAATACTACGACTACGAATACGACTGCCAACGTGATACGCACTACTACCCTAGGTCCAAGACAAGAAGCTTCACAACAACTTGGAAAACGAAAACACATACAACCTGGAAAACCACTTGTAACCATACAACACCATGTATGACAACCCCTACACCTCTAAACCCCTAAAACCCTAAACCCCTGAACCCCGAACTCCTGAACGCCTAAACCTCGACCCACTAAACCCTAATCCCGTAGACGCTTAACCGTAAACTCGAAAAAACAAGAAGGCCCCTGAAGGCTATGGCCGGGTCGCAGCTCCCGCCACTCCTGCCTCAGCTCCTTCTCACGGCGTTCCTGCACTGTTGCTAGGAAACCCTTGGCCCAATGAACTCTGAAATCTCATACCACAAAACCGTCATCATCATCATCATCACCATCATCATCATCATCATCATCCTCATCGTCATCATTGTAACCACATGTATACCAAGAAGACTACTACCAAGCAGAAGAAGAAGAAGAGAGAACTCTGGAGAGCTTGGAGTGAATGAGGATGAGGATGCCGAGTCTTTTTGGGTTTGGGGATGCGTCATATAGGGGCCTTAATAATTAGAATAGGGCTTTTGGGGTATATTAACCATGACGATAAGAACAGACCCCCAACATAGTGTTGGTAATTATTAGGCCCCTAAAATATGGGGCTTTACCTGATTTAGGGTGACAGGGATGAAGAGGGAGGGGCGCGCCTGGAAAAAATGTGAGCTCATGTTGGTCACAGTCGGCAAGGAGAGTCACACTTGTGACACTTGTGAAATTGCCCTTACAAGCCAGCATCTTGGTTCCCTCAGAACCCCTACATCTGCGGCCCGGCATTTTCGCAATTGCTTAGCCCTCCCCGCGTCCGAGCACGGCTCCTTCTCCTCCGCTTCCTGGATGCTCTCCCAGACGTCCTCCGCGGCAGTCTGAACTTCGAACCCCCCCCCCAAGTACAGTTCTATCTCCGACCCTGCGAGTAGCCTAAAAGACTCAAAGCCGCGGAAGATTTAGAGTGCCCAGCGTTCTCGACCCAAGGGCAAGCCTGCAGCTGCGCAGACGTCTACTACACGCTCAGTGAGATCAAGGCCTCAAGATCCCAACTACCTAAGGCTTAGGCTTTAGGGTTTAGGGTGTAGGGTTTTTTGGGGTCCAGGCATACAATTAGCGACAGACGGCGGAGCAAGAACCGCTAGGTAGTTCCCTTGGCGCAAGGCTGCTGAGGATCACGACGATGTTGACAGTGATGCTACAACCGATTCTGCTGATGCCGGCGACGAGGGCGGTCTTGAAACTGGTGATGATGGTAGTGCTGCTTGCTAACGTGATAAAAGTTCTGAACACGTCTGATTCTTCTGATTTTTTCTGATCCGAACAAGTCGTAGACAGTAGCATATGCCAACGACTTAACATTACCGTCGTGGTGCTGTTCTGATGCGTGTAAGGCCCCGATTCCTTTCAGAACCTATGATGGAAGGCGGTGCAAGTAGCTCTGCGTTTGTCTTGCGGTTGAGGCTGGCATCGAGTGGCCTCAGACCCTAAGGTAATGTAGAACTTCCCCACTAGACATTGAAGTATCAGGGTCTAGGCTGTAGGACTTAGGCCTTGGAGTTTTGGGCTTGAGGTTTCATTCAGAGATCTCGGGTTTGAGCCTTGTGGTTTAGGCTGGGCCCACGGTCTACAAGCACAGTCGGCTTAAGGCTTCGAGACTTCCGGCAACCTCGATCCCTGAACCCTGATCCTCTGAAGCCTTTGAGCCTATAGGGTTTAGGGTTTAGGGTGTAGGGTTTCGGGTATAGGGTATAGGGTTTAGGGTTTAGGGTATAACCCTACTCCCCGCATCTTCTGCTGCAGGATTTGTGCAAGGGGCCTTCGTTGATGCACTCGTTGATGGGCGAGCCTCGCCGCATCGGCCCCCAAAACAGAAACGAGGCGCCTTACACCCCTGAGCCCTGCACCCCCAAAATCATCTCCGAGCTTCCCTCCGCTTGACGGTTTAGGGTTTAGGGTTTAGGGTTTAGGATTTAGGGTTTAGGGTTTAGGGTTTAGGGTTTAGGGTTGAGGGCTGCTACGATGCTCAGGAAAGTCTGTAGGTTCTCTCGGTGCAGGCTTTGGTGCTTGGCGTGTGGCATATTTCGGCCTATGACTCTTGGGCCAAGGATATACCCTCAAGTCAAAACAGTTCGTCTAGGAGTTTGTCATGCTTGTCTTGCTGGGATCACGTGTTTACTACCCAAAGGAACCCTAAACCCTCAATCCTAAACCCGAAGCTCTAAACGCTCAATCCTAAACCCTAAACCCTAAACCCTCAACCCTAAACCCGAAACCCGAAACCCTAAACCCTAAACCCTAAACCCTAAACCAAAACCCTAAACCCTAAGGAACTACGTTAAGCCGCCCGTGAGAGAAGAGGACTGGTCTCCGGCACCTCTGCAGCAGCGAGGTCGAAGGCGTAGTCCAGCGCCTGGAAGATTACGACTTTGTGGCTTTGAGGATTTGGGGTTTAGGATTTCAGGGTTCAGAGTTTAGGGTTTAGGGTTTAGGTTTAGGCGGGCTTTAGGGTTTAGGGTTTAGCGCTTGATGGTTTTAGGGTTTGAGGTTTTAAGTTACCAGGGCTTAGGGCTTTATGGTTTTAGGGTTTAAGGTTTAATTTGCTAGGGCTTAAGGTTTGAGTTCTTGCCGTGATATAGCGCGTTAGCGATAGTGTATTCCACAAGGCGTTGTCGAGTGCATCGTACCATAGTGAGAAGCTGTGAAAGCCTGTCTACGGAGGTATTCCATCTTTTTTGCCCACTGCACGCCGTGTAAGGCGGCCAAACCGCCCAAACCTATTCCTTTAAGCGTTTAAGCCTAAACTCATGCCAGAACGCTTTTTCCGTCCCTTGCACAGCAGGCAGGACAGCAAGCCCAGACACAAAATACCCAAATTTGGCACATTCACCCTAAACCCTAAACCCTAAGCCCTAAACCCTAAACCCTGAACCCTAAACCCTAAACCCTTGCCTTGAGTTTAGGGCTTGGGGTTTAGGGTTTGGGGTTTGGGGTTTAGGGTTTAGGGTTTAGGGTTTAGGGTTTAGGGTTTAAGGTTTGGGGTTTGAGACAAGCTTGAGGGCTTCTCAGGCTTACGGTTCAGAGCCAGAGCGTACGATTAAAACTCAATCAAATGGAAGTTACCCTCAACTCCGCTAAGGAGCTGTCTATGTTAAAACCCTATAACTCCCAACCCTAAACCCTAAACCCTAAACCTTAAACCCTAAACCCTAAACCCTAAACCCTAAACCCTAAACCCTAAACCCTAAACCCTATAACTCCCAACCCTCCCGTCCTACACCTCTGGCCTCCAGCGTCTGAATCGCCGCTTTCGCCAAGATCTCCTACGCAGGACCAGGATGGCAGAGCGCCGGTGGAGAGGACTGCGACTTAGGGCTTAGGGCTTAGGGGCGGATGCTTTGGGGTTCAGGGTTTAGGGTTTAGGGTTCAGGGTTTAGGGTTTAGGGTTTAGGGTTTAGGGTCTGAGGGTTCCGGACTTTAGGATTTAGGGCTTGGGGTGGCTGGAAGGGTCTTGAGGGTTCATTTGGGCTCGAGAGGGTTGGAGTTGAAAGGCTTCTGCCAATCCGGGGTGCGAAAAACGACGCCCTGGTTTAGGGTTTTGGGGTTTCGGGTTTCAGGGTTTACGTAGGCCAGGGCTTGGGTACCAACGGTGTTCCCGCGGTTGAGGGCTTAGTTGCGGGGATTTAGGGCTTAGTCTTTCAGGTGGAATTGGCAGACTCAATGCGGGGCCATGCTCCTTGTAGGGTTTAGGGTTTAGGCTACGGGTTTAAAGTTTAGGGTTTAGGGGTCCCGTAGATCTCGGCGGCATCAGCTTGAGCATTCGGTTAAGTCTTTGTTCGGTGTCCCTTTTAACCACCATAATATCCTCTTTTTCGGTTTTCTTATTCTGTTTCTCAATGCAGAACTTATCCGGGCCCTACAAAAAACTAGGTTTTGGGAGGTTAAGGCAACAGGTAGGGCTCAAAGACGCGAAGAAAGGCAGCTTGACACGAGATATTTCTAAAGCCTAGAAAAGGCAGGCACAAACAGAAGCATTGCAACACTCAAGTCTTAAAGCTGATATAGATGCCTGATTCACGAGCTCATTTCGCTTGAAACGATTGTAGCATTGGGATGCTACTGTTAAGTGAGGCTGGTAAGGATAAGGGGGCGGCTGATCTGAGGTCTACATTAATCAAGGGATTCGCTATACATGTTGCCTCGAGGTCGTTGCCTCCAACGTGACATGGTGCTCGCTCGCTCATTGTTGTTTCACTGCACATCGCAAAGTGTTCGCATATCTCTGCACCTAGCTTTGCAGAGGATTGCACTTGTGATCCTTTGCTTGATTTATTTAGTGTGATTGTGTGACTCTTGTGCTGAGTTTACTGAATCCTGTTCGTTCGTGGCCGGTCCACTCGAAAACGTCGGCATTGAAAGCAGTGGCACACGGGGGCCAGGAGACCGGAATGTCCAGTAAGAGAGATTTAAAGGAAACTAGCTTGGCTTTTGGTTTTCGGCCTGGTTCCCGCACACCCCGTTCCCAAACTGCGTGCTCGCTCGGAACACCGTGCTCGCTCGCACACAACGTGCTCGCTCGCACGCAACGTGCTCGCTCCAACGAAGCGTGCTCGCTCCAGCGTGTCGCGCCCGCACCGTGTTCGCATGGTTCGCGCGCAAAAATTTGAGCGGGCACCCTGTTCTACTAAATGCCAGCCACGGCCACTAAATGGACGAATCTCGAGGCAGCCTGCGTGCTTGCTCGACAACTCAAGATTTAAAGGAACGCGTGCTCGCTCGCAAGTTTCGGCCCGCAGGTTGTCGCACCATGCACGTTGAGCCGGCACCCAAACCCGAGTGAGCACCCACGCCCATCACAAGGAGCTGAGGACGAGCATTGGCTCAATGGCTGCAGGTCAATGGCCACGGAACAGGCTCGCGCAGCTGTCTGAGCCGGGATGCTGGCAAGCACCGCGCTCATTCAACCCGCAGCATTTCATTACCGTGATCCCCCATCCGAAGTGTGATTTGACCTCCCGACCGCATTCGGACCGACCTCCCGGAAACCACAAGGTTCATCAAAAGTCAAATGGTGATGTTTGAATAACCTCGGCAATCCTCGGCACATCTTGTGCACACTAGACACGTCAAGCGAGGTACCGCCTATGCGATCCTCTGCAATCCTGTGTGCAGAGTCGGTAAACATGGTGTGATGGGGCGAAAGACAAAGAGGGCGAGCGAGCACCATCACAAGTTGGAGGCACCGACTTCGAGGCAGCATGCATTGTGAATCTCTTGAATTAATTACCCCTGCATAGCCACCCTAAACCTTAAACCCTCGACCCGAAACCCTAAACCCTGAAGCTCTGAAATCAGAATTGGTATTTGACATTTGCACTACGCCACAAAACCTGAAATCTTGAACGCGACAGACTCTGAACCTCAAGCACCTCCCTTACCCTAGAAACCCCTACAGCCCCAAACCCTAGGCCAGCCTAAACCCTGATGAATCCTGTCAGCCCCAAAAAGCCTAAACCCAAAGCAGTCCTAAACCCAAAACCCTAAAACCGAAACTCCTAAACTTAATGCATAGAGCCTTAATAATTAGAATAGGGTTTGGGGCCCACTATACTATAATTACAGTAAGGAGCCCCCAAAACAGTATTGGTAACTGTTCAGGCCCATTATAGTACCCTAACCCTAAGCCCTAAACCCTAAACCTTAGACCTTAAACCCGTTGTTTTGGGGCCCATTATAGTACCCTAACCCTAAACCCTAAACCTTAAACCCTAGACCTGAAACCCGCTGTTTTGGGGCCCATTATAGTACCCTAGAGCGTAGAAAGGGCCATCTGAGAGCCGAGACGTTTTCGTAGGCCTCAGCCCCCTTTCGCCACCGCGCCTCTGGGGCTAGGGGGTTTAGGGTTTAGGG